CTAGGGTAAAGGTTGATAGTCTGATGGCATCATAAATACCTAAAGCCCTCCATAGATCAATATCGTACACTATCATTCGCTGGACCCATAGTCTCTAGTCAGGGTTAGGTTTTTGCCATGAGCATAGAGGGTTAGGGCTTGAGTCCCAATGGTACCAAGCCAGCTTTGCCTTATTGAAGAGCATCACTCTGGTGTCTACAATAGGGTAATAATGAGTAAGTTCATCAAGAATGATGGCAATAAAAGTAGGGGCCAATTCCCCTTGTGCAGGGCTATTGCGACGTGGAATAATGCAGTTATTGAATATGTGTTGATGGAGTAGCTGCTGGAAATCAATTAGGAAACGTTGTACATGTAACGTTTCTATTTGCTTCTTTCCTTTGGTTTAAGCTTGTTTGGGCACCATAGAAGTATGTGAGCAAAAGGGTTTCGAAGCAAAAAGGTTGAAGAGTCAAAGTACAGAGCAAGGTAGAGGAAGTGAGAATAGTAAAGTGATGATTTGAATTCTGGGATTCAAATAGCTTATGGTGGACCCTCTGATTGAGCTTGGGCCTGTTACTAATAATTGGGCTTAACAGTTGGGCCTATTTAATTCGTATTTTTTGATCAAGTTTAGCATCTAGTAGGTATTTGGGCTTTGGTATGTGGATTTGTCTTTATCAACCCAAATGTTCATTATTATGAACCGCCCAAGTATATAGGTGTCAAATTGTTCCTTCTAATATTCATTCAAAACAAAAACATTTTTTTGTATTAAATGATGAGGGCATTGTTGGCACTAAAATTTATTTTTCTCTGTCGAATAAGCATAACAAAGTACAGAGAGCTGATTCAGCGGATGCTAAGGGAAAAGATCACGAGCTTATAATGGGATGTGGGTCCCAGAATGCAAAACAAGTGATAGGAGTGAAATAGTTAAAGGAGCAGATGTGGCAGACGCAGTTTTTCCTGTCGATTGATCTGATAGTGCAGTAGGATGTGGCCAAACGTGGCCCAAGTGTCAAGCCATGAAGTTAGGCATGCAAATGCTGCAGGATACATGTCTTGTTTGCAAGAGAAAGAGAAGGCTGCAGCAGAAAAGCATTTACCAGTGTTTATAGAGATCATGGGCAGTTATACAAGAAGTGGAGGTAACTTGTTCCATGGTGGGACACATGGCAGCAAAGAAGTAACAAGGCCAGCAGCATAAAGGCTGGAAATTCAAAGTAAAGAAGGATATTTTCAACAACATTCAAAACCCATGTGAAATTAGGAGTAGCATAACTTAATTAGCAATAGCCTTTGTACTTAGGAGTATTTTTTTTTTGTAATTTAGCCTCTGTGGCTAAGTTTTCTTCTGTCGATTGTAATACACATTGAACTTGAAATTTAATTCTTGTAATTAAGTGGCAAGTTTACTTGTTCTTCAATCGAATTTCAGTTTATTCACACTTGTTTCTTCGCATTACAACCTCCAAAGAAGTCCTTGAAACTGTCAAGGCATAGGATATTCACCCATGTGAAATTAGGAATAGCATAACTTAATTAGTAATAGCCTTTGTACTTAGGAGTATTTTTGTTTGTAATTTAGCCTCTGTGGCTAAGTTTTCTTCTGTCGATTGTTATACACATTGAACTTGAAATTTAATTCTTGTAATTAAGTGGCAAGTTTACTTGTTCTTTAGTCGAATTTTAGTTTATTCACACTTGTTTCTTCGCATTACAACCTCCAAAGAAGTACTTGAAACTATCAAGGCATAGGATATTCAAACCACAATTGCTTGATCTGTTGTTGTTTGTGAAACTTTGGTTGTTCTTTCGATTTGACCCAAACTAGATTTTTGCTAACATATTCATTGTTACATATTTAACAAATTAGATTGATGTGTTACATCTCTAACAAACTACTTACTTTTAACAAATTTTCAATCCATCATTACATAATTTATTAACTCTCAATCCAACCATTTCCCTTTTTCCCTTTATATCATCGACCTTGACGCAATCGGATTAGAAAGGAGATTGGTGTCAAATGGCATATCAATGTAGATAGATCAGAGATCTACGTAGTACGGGCATGGGCATGGGTAATTATTCTTCGTATTTGAACCTCACAAACAACAATAAGATGATAGAAATGGTCTTGAAGTGTTGGGGCGGAGATGGGCTTGACAAAGGTAGGAATTTGTGATGATGATGAGGAGGAGGAAGGAGAGAGAGAGAGAGAGAGAGAGAGTGTGTGTGAAATGCGGTTGGTGGATGTTGAGAACTTGGGAGGAGGAGACAAAGGATGTGATATGGTGTGGTTAAGTGCACAAGAAAATTAAGATGAGTGATTACATGAGATATACTATGTGAATAGTTGATTTTACTCTTAAGTAATAGAGAAATTATTAAATATTTTCAGAGTACCGCGTCTGTACTCTTTAACCAATTATTATTCAATATGTCTTTTCATGTTTCTCAATCACTCAACACAATACCCCACCTACCCACATTCTCCACCAATCATAATACTATGGAATATCACGTGTCCATATCACGTGTCCATATATTAGTGGCTGCTACTATTATTGGAAAAGAATGCAAAATTACGTTAAGGAGTCAAATGTACTTTAAGACTATTTAGAATTTTAATTTATGTATTTTTATTTGTAATGTTTAGATTTTGAATGGAGGTGGACAATATAAAAACTGGTGTTGTTGAAGGTGTTTCAGCAAGTAATTTCAGTTGTATTGAACTTGCTTTGCCTAATTTATTTTCTCAGTTGAAGTTATGATACAAACAAAAGAGTATTAAGGTTGATAAAATATTGATAAAATATTTCCCCATTTGCGTACCCAATGTCAGTGGGTTGGGCAGAGTAAATGTTTATGATCGAATGTTAGATGGTAATGACAATCTGCAAGTGTGGTTTCTTTTCCCTATGGATTGTCAATGCGAGTTAGTCTATTATGGGAATGGTTATTGTTCAATCAACGACAAGCAGGTGCCATGGATGGTGAAGTATCGACTTGAAAATTTGAATATTAAAAGGGGGATTGCATATTGTAAAATGAAAAGGTATCTGAAATATTCTATGAGTGACATGCCAGAAGATTCACAAATAAGGGCCCCATATATTGTTGTGTTATCTAAAAACTATACTAATGAAAATGTTGATGTTTGGCCTTATTCTCCAACGAAGGCCATTCCGATTCTGATACGGACTAAGTCTGTGGGTTTACCGAAGAGGCGAAAAGATTTGTTGTTAAGAGGTTTTGGGGAAAGTGATTCAATTATTCATGAACACAGAGGTCGTCTGAGTTTGTCTAAGATTGATATACACTGAGGTGGTGATGGAACTAGTGATATTGATCCGAGTCTGTCGATTTCGGAGGTTGGTGTTAGCAAATAAGAAATTGATCGTAGAGGATCAGTTGTTATGGATCTAGCAGAATTTTTTGATGTTTTAAGAAATGTAATCATTACTGTAAAAATAGTGATGTGACTCAAGATGTAATAGTTGATGATAAGGGAAATGTAGTAAGTAAATAAAACTTTGAGTAGCTTCATAAATAAAAATAATAAAATTTTTCATTAATCATGACAGTGGTTACATTAACATCAAACCATTCTCTCATTTTTTAGGACATTACATCTAACCAGCTACTGTCCCCATTAGTTAATATAATACAAGAAATTCCTCCTCTAATAGTGAGATCTGGTTGGAATTTAATAAATACATGGAAGTCTCTCTGGCAACCTATTAAATTTTTCATTAATTCGATAGGGACTGTCAAGTATTTGATGTCATCTATGACGTTGTACACGGTGTTTTGATCGTAGTCCTTGAAGCTTATTCTGCCGGAAAAATAATTGTGTCATTCGAGACTTCTGGTCGAGGCGGTTTTGCCTGTTCTTGAGAGTCCTTCGAGGTAGAGGGAGATTGGGCAAATGGGTCGCTGCTCTGGGTTCTATTATCAGAGGAGGAGGAGAGTTCTTCATCAGTATATAAATTATTGATATTATTTTTGTGTATCCCTAATCTAATCCAATCATCTTCCCTCCAAACAGAGAGACAATAATTTTGACATAACTCGTATTTAGTGGCTGCTACTGTAATGATCATGTGACTTGCATATGATCATCTTCTATCTACAATTCTAACTTCTGTTATTAATTGTGCTAAATTAAAATAAATCGTAAAATTTATTATCAAATGTGTTACAATTAAAATGATAGGAACCAAATTGACACAAGTGTTAGACTTGAAGGACCATTAGTATAATTTGTCCTATTTGTTTTGTTTTGAAGCAAAAACTCCACAATAAGTCACATCATTTGTAAGAGCCACAAGGAGAAATGCAAGGCATTATGGCATGTTTGGTTTGAATAAACTATTTTCTAAAATTATTTTGACAAAAATAATAATAATAATTTGACAAAAATGAACATAAAAAAACTTATTTTAAAATTTTAAAAATTATTTTTGTCCTTAAAAAGGATAAAATTATATAAAAATTGTAAGTAATTCTGATTTTTTTTTAATTTTTTTTCACCAAATTATTTTTTAAAGAAAATTTTTGAAAACAGATTCCTAAAAAAACAACAGAATGGAGAGCTTCCAAGACAACCCTCTATACAAGAGCTAGATGGAGAAACATCCAGTCTACCCACTAAAACCGTATCGATCAGCCACAATAGATGGTTCCGATGCTCCGAACAGACTTTTAGTGAATCAATCTGTCACAATGGACGGTTTCAATGGTCCGAACGAACAGATGCGGATGCATTTTTTTGTCTAACAAAAAAGTGCTGCCGCTATGCCCGCATGTATATACAAGAAAGAAATAAGCAAAACAAATCAAACTAAATCCAGCTCAGCTCCATATATAAATATGCTAGAGATTTCAAAATTTTTACCAAATATCTCACATGTTTGATAAAAATTTTGAGATCTCTATCATTTTGCAATCAAATATGGTTGAGAGTAGCTTCAAGAAAATTGAAACAGCTTCAATAAACAGAAGATTTCACATTTGAGTAGAGCCTAAAATGATTGGATAGAAAAATGACAATCTGAGAATTTCATATATAATGTTACATCACCGGCACCCTACATCCCTAAAGCAACCGTAAAAACAAGGCTACTTGAGTATGTACCTCATATTAAAATTAAAAACAAAAAAATACTGTACAGTACAACTGTTCTACTGTTGATGTTTTAACCCAATTACTAATAATCCCTATTATATCATCCAAAGAATGGAATGCCATTTTCATTCTTTGCAGGGTTGAGGGCTTTTTACATGGGTTGGTTACTCCCAGGAGGTTTAGAAATCAAAGAACGCAACATCATCAACAGGGGCAGTTTCCGGAGAGTATACATTGCATCCAGAAGGAACAGGAACTTCTAGGGCCCCAGAAAAAGATTGATTCTCCAACATCCAATCAAATTGGAAGTCCGGTAAGCCTGGATTTGTGTTTACAGGAATCTGGGGATCAAACCCTGTGACAAGAGGAGGATGATGATAAGTCAGCCCTGGAATTTGAAATAGGGAATTATCTGCCAAAGGTTGGTTGCTCTGGCAGCCAGTTGGGGCAACCCAACTTGAGTCAAAATCTGAAAAACTTGGATCCACAGCACTTTGAGTCTCGTTTCCTTGCTGGAAGCCATATTGGCCATCATTTGCTGCAGGAATAGGCTGACTACTATACACTTGGGGTTGCGAAGGCACAGGATAGACAAAGCTGCTGCCCATGTTTGGCCGTGAGGACACTTGCGGTTGACAAGACAAAGGATTTTCGAAATTGCTTCCCATGCTTGGCTGGGAAGAGACTTGCGGTGAAGGCACTGAATCGACAAAGCTGCAGCCTATGTTTGGCTGGGAGGACAGTCGGGGTCCAGAAGGCACTGAATTCAGAAAGACACTGCCCATGTTTGGATGTGAGGATAACAGGGGTTGAGAAGGCACTGAATTCTCCAAGCTGCTGCCAGTGTTTTGCTGGGAGAGGTTCTGATATGCTTCTGAGTCTGAAATCATTCCACTTGAAAGGTCTCGCCACCTAGTGGGATTGTTATCATTTGAAGCTGCCACAGGAGAGGGATTTCTGGAGAATTGAGTTGCATAATTGTTGTCAGATGAGCCATATCTAGTTCGATTTGTTGCCAAAGCAACTCTAGTTGATCCTGCTGCCCTTTTGAAAATTGTGTGGGAATTGATATATGGAGGCCCTAAATTACCAAACCTTCTGTCCCTTTGAATGATATTATTACGGGTACTAAGCAACTGCCGAGAGACCAAATCTGGGTGGAATTTGTTTCTTACATATACAGACTGTTGGCTTCTGCCTTGATCTGTGATATTTGGGACGCCAAAACTGGTAGGCATAGAGCAAGCACGGATTGTGGCTGACCTGGAGATCTGATTCTTTGGTTGCAGCTGTGTGATTGTTGGCGGTGGTCGAATTGAGCGAGAAGTGTCAGGAAATTTAGGACCTGGTAGTGGGGCTTTATTCCCTTGCTTGAAACTCTGCCTCTGAGATTTCCAGAACTCATCTTTATCGGTAGCGTGACAATGGTCATTTCTGGAAGTGCCATTGCCCCAATTGACACATGGTGCAAGTGAGTCACATACATAGCAGTGGCACTGAAATTTAGCAAAGGTTGAAATCAAAACAGCAGAATGCTTACAAAGGACTACAGTACCATCCAGTACTTTTTAGAGAGACCGAAATTTAAAAAGGGTGATCGTACCTGAGGACAATGCCTCTCATGCAGAGAGGAAGTGAAAGGAAACTTAGCACAGAGGTGGCGAGCGTGAGGGTAATCTCTGCAAGCAATCTGTGATCACAGAAAACAAAGAATATAACAAACAAAAAAATACAAAGCAATTTTATAAATAAAATGTAGTAATGTTGTGTGTGAAAGATGGGTCAGAAAGGGAGAAAAAAAAAAAAAAAAGGGGCCAAATGCAAGACATTGAAGCAAATCAAATGGTGCAGCATTGGGCCTAAAATAGATAAGACACGAGAATAGTCGCACTTGATCACATTTCAGGCTTCTATCAGTAAGAAACATTGGAATGTCAGCTGATTTCAATTCATTCTCAGGCTACATGATAACTAACTTGGCATTATTCAGATGTCAGCATTGGTATTGCTAAAATAATTCCTGAATCCAATCATCAGTAGTTTCTCCTCCCACTGCATATACCAAATGATTTCATATCCTCCAAATAAGTCATTCATGTGGTCCTATAATTTCTTTTTAATTTATGATTGTACATTTTTACCTTTGAATACGAATATTGAATATGAAGCAAATGATGCAGCAATGATGCCACTAGAAAATCGGGAACCAAATAAGTACATCATATGAGAATAATCTCCATTCAGGCTTCTTTCAGTAAGCAGCACTGGATTTTCAGTTTATTTTATTTAATTCCCTGAGTGAATGATAATTTAGTTTGTTAATTAGATGTGGAACGTTAATATTGCTCCAAAAATTAATGATCCTAATCAGCAATAAATTCTCCTATCACTGCAGTCCTTATATATCAAACATATCCTTGACAATGCATCTTTCATGTGATCCTACAACTTTAAATTTATGGTTGTACTTGTACATTTGCAATTTCAAGTGAAACTAATTTAAATTAAAGGAGAATCAGCAGGAAAAATAAAATTAAAAAAAATTTGATATAGGACAGTGCTTTTATGGTGGTTTAAAGCTGAAAATCGGTGGGAATTTTAGGGTTCCTATTAATGAATGGAATCAACTAGGTATAGGATTAATAAACTAAGAGAAAGAGATCAAAACAACTGTTTATGAGCTGTGAATAGTAGATTATGAATAGTGAATTGAAACAGAAAAGAAAAGAAAGAAGAAGAAAAAGTCTAGGCATCACACTAAGGTTAGGGTTGCATCAACCCAACCCAAAAGAGGCATTACACATGACTTTATATAGGCTTCGAGACAACCTTTTCCAACTAAGACTTCAAAATAGGAAATTACTAATATTTTGACTTCCAAAACTGATCTAGGACCAAATAAAAAACACAACAAAACAACCCACGTGCGACCCCTATTGCATATGTCAACAAATCTAAAAATTAACAAAATGTCATTGACCTAAAAACTCTAAAAAGCAAAAAATAACCATAAAATAAGACTCTAATAACACTAGTAACATAATTATCTAAGGATCCTATCGGTTTCTCTTTGAAATCATACCAATGTCCAAATATCATTGCTTCTTTGAATTTAACCTTCCTTGAGCTTCTTACACTCTGCATCAACAATACATTTAAAAATAAAAATAATTTGGAAAACAAGACCACCAAATTACCAATCAAACAAGCACTTGCTTGCCCTACCAAAAAAAGTTGAAAAAAGAAAAAGAACACATGCACACGCGCACATGTGACCAGAGAAGGTCAAAAAGCATAAATTCATTAAAGGAAGGAGACATACGTATGAAGTCCCCACCCCCACCCCTTTGCCGAGTGCCAGGCCCCACCGCCCCTATCCCATCCAAAGAAGGCACGGCAAAAAAAATGAAAAAGACAAAAAAGCAAGCAAACAAACAAACAAAAGGAAAGAAAGGGAGAGATTTTTTCTTCTTTAAGAAGTAAATAATTTTCATTAAAAGCACCAAAAGGGGTACAACCGATATATATACAAGACTTATATAAAAACTAAAAATCTTCAACAAAATTCAGCTCCCCTAAAATCAACAAAAGAGAAAAGAAGATATATTTATTTTGTGCTTTAGGGGAAAATGGTTATTAAGGTGACAATGGATTTCTTAATCTCTTAAACTCTAGGCTAATGCTATGCCTTGATTTTGTCTTCTATTGACCTTACACATGTCTAAAATGCTCACACTAAATTAGTTCTTCCTCTCTACACACACACTAAAAAAAAAGAAAAAATATACATCAAGCATAACCATCCATATCAATAGAGCTCATCTTCATTATTTTGCTAAGCTAATCTTGTGAACTTCCTCCAAAAGAACCTACAAAACAACGCCAGCCATTTTGCAGTTCCATAAAATTGTACAATCAATCCAATAATTGGAAACTAGTGCTCGACACAAGAAGGGGGAAATAAAAATGGAGAAGCACTCATGTCTATTGCCTATTTTCCTCATAAAATGCCAAAATGCTATCTGTGAGCTCCATCATGAAAAAGTTAGAGAGAGAGTTTTGTCAAATTTTGAATTTGCAAATTTTGGAAAGTGTTTTGACACACAATTTGTAAAGATTTTTGGGAGGACTTGCCAAAATTTAGCTTTGGCAACGGTTATCGCATGCTGTCAAAGATGCACTTAGAATTCCATCAAATAAAAGCATTGTCTAGACCCTCCAAAAACTCGAACAAACAGATATCTCACTTTGCTAATAAACTTACAAAAAGGTTGACAACCCATTGGGTCATAGGCCAGGCCAAGCAGTCCCTTCGTCCCAAACCTCTTCTTCAAAAGAAATTTTTTTTCAAATCCATCAAGCCAGCACCCCCTACCATCTTGAATTAACAATTTAATTTTGACTAATCTTCAACAAATGGGCCAAATTTGACCGGTTTATGAATTATGAGTGAGTGCCTAATTCAACTGAAGAGAAAAATTAACACAAAAATAAATAAATCAGAGCTGCTTATTTCCCAATAAAATTCTTTGATTTATAGCATTCAGTTCCATGAATTCGTCTACCATTCAATCTCCAAGGCAATATAGGAGATAATTCTACACCCTAATTGTCTTGATAATCACAATCTTTTCTATCGTAAGAGGATGAATTGAATGAATGAATGAATGAATTGCACAATAAAACTAGTGAATTTGCAATACCTGCCCCTTCTCGCCAACAATGGACAAATCATCCGAATCACCTTCCGTATTGTTCTCGATCTCGATCGCAACCGGTTTATCTGGATCACCCTCCAATACCACACAATCATCATCCAAATCTTTCGGCTTCGCAGCAGCAACACTAGAAGACTTTGACGACCTCTGCTTGTGATTCGCCACAACTTCACTCACCACCACCACTTCATCAGAGTCATCCGCATCGTCCAAAAACTCCGATATCCAATCATAATCATAATCTTCGTCCGAGCTTATATCGAGTACCACATGCGTCGACTCCATCGAAGTTCACACTAGTGCCTAGGTTTTTCAACAATTTTCGCACAAATTCTCGAATCTTTCATGTGTTTTCCTCTTCCTCCTCACTGTCATCAAAGATATTGAAAGGAAATAGATGGAATCTTTGATGGGGTTTCCAAGAAAGCACCTGCTGTGTCAAAACGTCTTTCTTACGATTTCTCGCATTTACAATTTTTTTTTCCTGGAAACTACCTGACAACGATAAAATTAAAAGAAAAGACAAAAAAAATTGATTCGATGGAGGGTTTGAGAGAAAGCGCGCAAGAGTGACTGAAGAAAAATAGAAACCCTAATTTAGAGAGAGAGAGAGAGAGAGAGAAACCCTAGTTCCTGAATAGGAAAAATGCTTTGCAAAGCTAGGGTTTCATACATGGAAAGACATTGATTGATGATGGTGCATACGGGGGGGTCTGGTGACTAACTTCTTGTGAAGTGCAGATGAGATGAGTCACGACTCGCGACGACGACTCGTGTCGTCGGTGTTTTTTTTTGTTTTGGTTTTGTTTTGTTTTTTTTTTTTTTTGTAAAGTACCATCAGGCCACCCAAACCAAAAAAATAAAATAATGGGCTTTGGGTTAGATATGGACCGGCCTTTTAAGCCCAAACAAAATTTGGACAAATCACTCGAAAATCCTATTTAAAATATGAGAAATTTATTTAGTTTCATAATTTTTTTTGATACTCTCAAAAGTGCATTACATATTTTTTTTCTTCGTTCTTTTTTGTGCATTCATTTTTCTCTGCCTCTTTCTCTTCTTGATTTTCGTCAACCACGCCTTACTTCTTCTCTTTCTCTTTTTAGTATATAGTCACCAACAACTACCATTGATTAAGGTTCATTGGCAACCACCGACCATTGACTTCTTACTTCACCCTCACTGACGGCGAAGGAGTCCAATGAAGAAATTGAATAGATCTAGAACTGATTAAATATAAACCAAAAATAGTTGTCAGAGTACAATATTCTCTCTATATCTGTTTATCTCCTTCGATCTCTTAATTTTTTTCAACCTTTTCTCAACTACACACTTCTATTTTCTATTTTAATAAAGAAAATTTTCAAGTTCTAAACAAATTATTTTCAAATTTTAGTTACAGACAGTGAAAATTGTAAAATTTTATAGTTTCAATTTTTTTTGTGCTGACATGAATTATACTTTAAAAATGTAAAATTTTATAGTTTTATAACATGGTTTTCAGTTTGATTAATAAAGATAAATACTTAATAGAATTATACTTTGAAACTGTAACAATTTATGGTTTTAAAACTTAATTTTCAGTTTGATCAATATTGGTGATTATTTAAACCCTATAAAAATTTTAAAATAATATAAGTCTCTTTCCTATTCTTACTATTTTTTTTTTCTTCCCCTTTTTAATTTATCAATATTTAGCACATTTTGTTATGATTTTTAATTATAATTTTTTCATTTATTCTTATTTTTTTAGACAATATTCTGAACATTCTGGTGAGTCTCCAACGATATTTTTGACGTCCAACAAACATTTTGAACATTCCAACGACTCTCAGTGACATTCAAAACACTCCGTATAATTTCTAGCGATACTATTACGACTTCCCGATGATGTTGAATATTCCGGCAAGTTTTCGGTGACCATCTGATGGAAGTCTAGCGGTAGTAGAATGTGGCATTGTTTTTCAATTTATTTATAAACAAAAAAAAAAGAATTTTTTGGGTAACAATTAAAAATATATATGACTAATTAGTGCAAGTGTTTTGTTTTGGAATAATACTATATATACCAAGTAGTTTACTAAAACTTGTGTACTAATTGATAAAGTGGCATAATATAAGATATTTTTGGTATTTGTAATTTGTATAATGAGTGGGGTCAATAATAATGTCATAACTAGAGATGAGCATAGTCTGGATTGGGATAAAATTATGATCAATCTGTTATCTACGGTTCTTGAAAAATTAGAACCAATCTAATTCGTTTAAATCATGGAACCGGTTTAGGAGCACAAATTCATATAATTAAATAACAAAAAAAATTATAAAACATTTTAATTTCATAAAAATATAAACATATCATCATATTAGTTTCACAATAGCAACATGTCTTTCCATAATAACGACATATTTTTCTAGAATTTAAACAATCAAAAGAAAATGGTTCCATCATAAGTATTTAGACCATTACAAATTAAAACTAGAAACCAACAAACAAAAATAATAAAAGAACATACTATGCGAGTTTAGATTTGGATTTAGATTTAATATGGAATAAGAGAAGATACTATGCGGGGGGTGTATAATACAAATATAAACTATTTGTATACGGTCCAAATCGGTTCCAATCCGAAATCGTGGGATTCAATCCAGGACTGATCCGTGGACTACAAATTTTTAATTTTTCAATCTAGAATCGAACCACAGATTCAAAAAATCAATCCAAACCTACCAGATTGGATTGGACCAGATCAAATTACGGATTTCACGGATTCCTTGCTCAGCTCTAGTCATAACTAGTATTGGTATACTAGTTAGTACACTAATTGATACATGTAGCACCACTGTTTGTTTTGGGACTAAATAGATTTTGAACTTTGTATATGAGACTTATTAGTAAGGGCCTCATTTGTTTTTTTGTGGGAGGGTAAGTTTGGAAACTCCCTACAATAGCTAAAGAGTAAGAATAAAGATATATGTTCAAATTAGTGTATCAATTAATGTATTAACAAATGATATGACATAATTTTAGACGCTTTGAGTCTTTATAGTTTATATAATGGGTGAGATCCATAGTTTTAAAATGACAATGTTATAATATATGTTGATGCACTAATCGGTATACTAATTGGTGCATGTAGCACTACTGAAAAAGTAATAGTATTAAGTGTATCAATTAACACACTAATTAGATACAATATTAGGTAGGACCATGTTAAGTGGTGGAATCTATATGTATGTTTTAGCGTACCAACTAACACACTAACTACATACAATATTAGGTAAGATCATGTTAAGTGGTGAAACTCACATGTATGTTTTGTGTCTTAGTATGTTAATTGGTACACTAATTAGTATTTCTAACATTAATTGAAAAAATGAAATTCTTAACTGATCTCTTATATAGTAATAAAATTACGTGACTTATTAATTTAAATATATTTATTATATCATTGAAAACTGTTAATTGACTTAATACTTTATTACTAAAAGAGGTAATTTGTTATTAAATTAGACATTTCAATGGGTAAGATATAATTTTTAAAATCACAAGGGACCATTTGTATTTTAAGCAAACTTTTAAGAGTGTATTTGTAATTTGCCCAATAAATAAAAACATAAAAAAAATGTTTTGGTAATATAACATGAAAGATTTATTTTCTTTTATGTAGTCTATATCCAAACAAGATATGAGAGAAATCATTATATTTTATCTCTTAGACCATCTCCAACGCTATATCTAATATTTTATTAAATTTAGATTTGATGAAAAACGACAACTGTTTAACCTTCAATCCTTTCATCAAATCATATCAAATGAGGGAAGAATCAAAATTTTCATCAAATGAAGAAAGTCTTTCATCTTTCATCAAATTTAAATTATTATCGTTAGACTGGACGTCATCCTGAATGTCCACCTATAGTAATTTTGACAACTTTTTTTAATTCATTTATGGATGTCCTCCTAGGCAATTAGAGAAGTGAAAAAATCTAATAAAAATTTTAATTTTAGTATTAGTGTGAATGATATCAAATTAAATTTTTCATCAAATTTTTACTAAATTTGATGAAATTTTTTATTTAACATTAGAGGTGCTCGCTCTTGGCTAATCAAACAAAAGGAAAATAAACAAAAGGAAAATAATATTTTAATTTATTTTTTCTCTCTCTTTATTTAGCAAATAATTTATTTCCTTGGCTAATCAAACAAAAGGAAAATAAATCATAATATTTTTTCCCTCTCTCTCTCTCTCTCATTAGGAAATAATTTATTTCATTCTCTCTGTTAAATATGCCAACATAAAGATAGGCCTCGTTTAGGAACATGCTATTTTAGTAACTTTTTAACTAAAATATGAGGTAAAAAAAAAAAGAGAAATTTTTTTTAAGGTCCCTAATAATAGTAATTTAGAGGATAAAGGACACACAAAAAAAAAGAATGATGTCTCAGGTCCCTCAACTAATAACGCGCACCTTTTATTTACTTCTTGGACCAAAATACCCTTCACAATCAATAGGGAACTTGAACTACATTCCGACGACTGATCAGTTTCATACTTCACATCCAACCATCTTCAGAATTAGGGTTTCCGAATCATCTTCACTATCGACATCAGGGTTTCATCATCTTCTACAAAAATCTTTTCCATTCCTTCCTCACAAATTTCTCTGATCTCATTTTCATTGTTCATCGTCATCTCAATTTATCTTCATCACAGTGTATCTTCATCTCAAGGCATATCAGTTCGTAATTAGGCTTTCATACTCACTCTGGTAAGTTTTTCTACAATCCAATAAGTTTTTATCTGGAAACGCAATTAATTGCATTTTATATTAGCCTTCCATTAATTAAGGTTTCAATTTCGTAATAAAAGCAACATGAATTTAAAAAGTGTTATTTCTCTGCGTTTTGAACTTATTCTTGAACATTGTTGTGTGATTTTGTCTGTAAATTTCTCTGGTTTCAGAATTTCTCTGGTATTTGCTTGATCTATGTTTCTTCTTTGAATTTTCTCTGACATGTTTATTCCCCATTTGTTTTTGTTTATTCCCCAATTTTCTCTGGCATGGTTAATTTCTCTGTGTAATTTTCAAATTCAATTCATTCAAATTTCTCTACTCTACAAATTTCTCTGGCATTTTAATTTTCTCTGGAATATGTAATTTTCTTTATCATTTTCATTTTCTGTGCTTGCTAGATTTATGTTTCTTTCTTGAATTTTCTCTGGCTATATTTTACATCTATATGTAATTTTTAGCAATTATTCAAAATTTCCTTGTCATGTTTATGTTGCTTTGTTTATTTTCTCTGGGAATGAAAATGAACTGTGGCTGCATGTATTCCACATTGCTTTTCTCCCTTGTGTTTGTCTGTCATGTTTAATTTGCTCTGGTTGTGTCTGTAAATTTCTCTGGTATTTTAATATTATGGGGCTTGCTAGATTTATGTTTCTTTTTTGAAATTTTCTCTAGTATGTTATTTTGTTCAATTCTTGGTTTCTCTGTTCTGTAAGTTTATGTGGCATGTTTACGTTACTTTTATTTTTTTTATCTTGCTAATTGTGAAATAAAAATTTTCTTTAGCTTGCCATGTTTATTAGTACTCTGCCATTTAATTTTCAGTGTTTAATTTTCTCTAACATTGATAATTTTCTCCTGCCACCTTAGTTTTCTCCCTTATATGTAATTTTCTCTGGGAATGGAAATGAACTGTGGCTGCATGTATTCTACATTACTTTTCTCCCTTGTGTCTGTCTGCCATGTTTTAAATTTTCAATGTCTAATTT